ATACAAAGCTTATATACATTAACATGCATCGACAATGAACCGCAAACTCGAACTTGTAAATAATTTGAACTTCGTGACAGTATGAAATATTAAAATATATGTTTTTTCACGGTCTGCATTTTATACCAAGTCTGCAATTTCAGTCTGCAATTTATACCTATTCTGCATTTTGTACTTGGTCTGCAGTCTGCAGTCTGCGGTCTGCAGTCTGCAGATTATACTGACCGGAATATAAATACGTATTTTTAAGTGTTTTTTTTCACTTACGATTGATATACGATTTTACTCAGTAGAAATATATTACCAAGGGACCGATTACATCCGAAGAAAGACACGCGAGCTCATAGTAAAACCTGTGTCTGGGCCTTGTGACCCCAGATGGGCACTTAAAAGGAGGGAATACACACACACAAGATTTTAAGATTTTATTCATACATTACATACTCATCATAGCAAGCTCGTATCTCAAACAAACGACGGACTTTTATAGACGAATATAATGCGGACTGCGCATGTCAGACTATTGCAAATATTATATATTATCAATCGATCAGGTGACTAAAGAGCACTCAAGGCCAAGGCCGAGTGTTTAATCACAGGAGGCCCAGGCTCGATTTGCCCGCGCCCGCCTGTGCCTTCCTTATAACGAGGGCACAGGCGGGCGCGGGCAAATCGAGCCTGGGCCTCCTGTGGTTTAATAAATGATATTTGACATGTTTGTTTCATGCTTTGGAGCAGCAGACCGGAAGTCGCGCTAACAAAGATCGCACCTGTAGAGCGCTCAACATGAAAGGAGCGAATATAAATACGTATTTTTAAATACGTATTTTATTAAACATTCCAAGATAAGATTCCAAGATTCCAAGAATCCAGATTCCATGTTTTACAGCTTACCATATTAGGTTTCTGCTACGCTCGCTCGCTTCAGGCTCGCTCGCTCCGCAGCAATAATAACCCCCCATAGCTGAATTGCGCACTTGAGAAATTTGTGCTTAACCCCGCTGATAAATCTCTACGTAAAGTAGTCACGTTCGAAACGGTATAAAACCGATAAAAATTAGGGGTCGAACGAAGAATTTGATTTTGTCATCGAAGCGCGAAGTCGTAACCTGTTTATTATCTCAAAGGATTTATTAATCTTAGTATTTAAAGATGTCTGAGCCAAGTTGGTGTCTTATTGGCGCATTTGTTATCATTTTTCAACAGATGGCGTCGCAGACAGCCGGGGCTTATAAGCGTATGTATAAAAAGCTAAATTTTAAAATGCCGTGTGTTGAAACAAGTTACCTTTATAGCTAAGTGAAAACTTCGTGACTTGAAACAAGTTACCTTTATAGCTAAGTGAAAACTTCGTGACTTGAAACAAGTTACCTTTATAGCTAAGTGAAAACTTCGTGACTTGAAACAAGTTACCTTTATAGCTAAGTGAAAACTTCGTGACTTGAAACAAGTTGCCTTTATAGCTAAGTGAAAACAGTAAGTAGAGATCTTAGGGACATATATATATATATATATATATATATATATATATATATATATATATATATATATATATATATATATATATATATATAGATATATATAGATATATATATAGATATATATATAGATATATATATAGATAGATATATATGTACTATTTACAACATGAGCGGCCGTGTTGTATCGGATATACAAACTCGAGCCGAAATAAATGGCTTAAAAAACGACAAACCTTATGAGTTCATTAGGGAAGTAATTTTAAAAATAAATGTTGTCTAAGCCGAGAAAATCGAAGTTAAAGTTTATGTAAATCAACATGAATCTGTATCACATATACAGATACGACACGCTTATGATTTTTCTTTGTGTTTTCTTCATGAATTTTTAATGAGTTTTTTAAATATATATGAATTTTTAATGAGTTTTTTAAATATATATATATATATATATCGGGTGGCGCAAAAAAAAGTATAACTGTTTGATTACATATAGCTCAAAGACCATAAGCAGTAGAACCCAAAATCGAGTTTCATTGCATCCAGCGATGTCTAACTTAAATTTTGGTATATTCGACAGGTATTTTCGTCCAAGATTGACTGAGATATGAGTGTTTAAACTTTTGTTAGCAAATTTGAAACGGTCACAAATTAGCTAAAAACGGCCTATTAAACTGATTTTTAGCTAATTTGTGACCGTTTCAAAATTGTTAACAAAAGTTTAAACTCTTATATCTCAGTTAATCTTGGACGAATATGCCTGTCAAATATACCAAAATTTAAGTTAGATATCGCTGGATGCAATTAAACTCGATTTATGGTTCTGCTGCTTATTGTTTCTGAGTTACAAGTAATCAAACAGTTGTACTTTTTTTTGCGCCACCCGGTATATATATATATATATATATATATATATATATATATATATATATATATATATATATATATATATATATATATATATATATATATATATATATATATATATATATATATATATATATATATATATATATATATATATATATGTGTATATATATATATATATATGTGTATATATATATATATATATATATATATATATATATATATATATATATATATATATATATATATATATATATACATGAACTTGTGGTTAGAGCTTGACAACTGGTGTCTGTAGCTCAGTTGGTTAGAGCGTTGTACCGCCATTACCAGAATTTGCAGTAGGTATATATACATGAACTTGTGGTTAGAGCTTGACAACTGGTGTCTGTAGCTAAGTTGGTTAGAGTGTTGTACTGCCATTACCGGAATTT